CTTACTGACAGCCTCTATTGATCATTCTAGAAACTCAATGCGGTTGCTGTGGTTGAAAGAGGAATCTGTGTCTTTACCTTCCAATTTTGTTATCTCCCAAAAAGTCCAGCACCCACTTCTTGAGGATGTACATATGGGCATCCATGAGCCGTGTTTTGACCTGAATGAAAGGATACCTGTCAAAAGAAAGATCCACAAGATAGTGCAAAGATAAACAGGGAGGCAAAAACCAAAATATAATGTGTGGAAGGAATAAAATCAGAAAGCAGTAGCTATGCCATTACAACACATTTGTGTGGATAAGATACTCCACATTCCCTACAACTTATTTGGTGGTCATTTTCATACATTATGTTTAGTAGAGATGATTTTCGGGGGCACATGATAAAGGGCTTATTCATTTTTGACAGCATCTTTGTTTATTAGTGGATTGTTCTTGAAATTTATGGGAACAAGAAAATAAAGCTCTGTTGGATCTCGATTTGTGAAAATGGGTTTGTAAATACACAGGTTGGCCAATAGCAAACTGGAATCTGTCTATGAAATAGAACATATTTCACGTGGCTTCATGTTCAAGAATTAGCCAGGTTAGTATTCCAATAATGAATACCCACAATGAAGCAAGTCAGAGGTCATTAGGATACGCATGCTAGGTCTACCCTATTAGCACAATCCCTCCTTGGACTCACATGCCTCCTGTTTTCTGAATGTTGCTTTTTTGAATACCCAACTGGCCCACTGTATGTGCCTCATTGGCAAAATGCTTTAGGAAAAGTAAACAATCAGCTGGGTTCCACAAACTCGAATTTGACTTCACTAAATTCACTGATTTTCCAGCCATTAACAGCTTATCTGTTGCTAGTCTTATGACACAACAAACATGAGTATGATTACCAGAGCAGTGACGAACACCAAGATGCTATATACTTGACCAAAAATGGTGTGCACCCAACTCATTTTCCAAAGTTTTATTACCCAAACCATTTTAAAAACACAGTAGAATGCTTCTCTGATGCTGATAAACTATGAAAGCTGCCAATAAACTATGACGAAACTGTTACCGCATTTTTTAAATCTAAAAAAAAATGTTTCCAACAAAATTTCTACTGTAGGTTAGATTTCACAGAGCACAGCATGGTAGTTTTACTCATGGTACCTTGCAGGGTAATATTTACGTCTGTTTGTTACCAGTAATAATGGTTCTGTAGATATCTAACTGTGTAAAGAATGGAAAACCCACAGAAGTACACTTCTATTGAGAACAGCAAATAGGACGGGCACAGTTGATAACACAATGCTGAAATAGCAATGATTTATCACACTGTTTACGCTACACCTTCACTTTGGCATCTTGCATTGAAAGCTCCAAATTTAAGCCTTACAAAATGAAGGTATAGCACAAATTCATTGTAAAATGGGCTGCAGACAATACTTTCCCAAACACAACCAGGTCAATGGAACTACTTGAATGTTCAGACTGTGTTGCTTTTAAATGAATCGTCTCCCAAAAGACTGCACAATTTGGTTGGGATCAACAATTATCTGTTACAATTGAACACTCCTCTGTTAAAACTAAGCTGGTATTATTGAGACCCAACTGCTGTGACTTTGTCCTGACATCCGTCACAAGCAAAGAAAAACCTGAAAATTAACACCCAGAGTTCATGAAATGTTACAAACATGACAGAATTTACAGGCAAGGGCAATTTCTTCAGCCCATATTCTTCCATACCTCTTCAAGACTGACTTCTTAACACTAAGAGCCTCTTCTACATCAGCTTCAGCAGCAAGAAGGAGAATCCTACTACCCTTGTCATCCAGGCCTACAATGTCTCTCTGCTCTGTCTTCCTCTTAGATTTTGTACCTGGAACAGACACTCCTCCCTCATTGGACTGGTCCAGTGTAGTGTGCATTAACATTGTCATTGATGCATCATACGTCCGATGTACATCCGCTAGCAGATGTAGCTCTATGTCTGTGATCAAGTCACAACTGATGACAAGTACATCAGTCTGGGAATAAAAAAGTTATGATTTTCTGCTAAAAATGACTGTGTTTGGGGTTCTGTGTCACCCTTACAGATTCTGGAGCCAGGATATTTTAGACAATGAGGACATGAATGTAGAATCCTATCATCTGTATGTACATGGTCACAGGCTAGAAATGCTGCATTCGTGCATCCACAGCTTCAGGGTCTTAAAATATGAAATTAATTTCCTTTAAAAAAAAAATGTTTCCTTGGGGCTACTAGCACTGAACAAAAATTTACTGAACCACATCTGCCAGTGTAAACCCCTCCACAAAGAATTCCACTTACTGATAATTTGATACTGTTGTGATGTAGGATATGGCATTTGTTTTTACACCTTCAGCCTTGTCACTCAAGGCAAAGGGTACTACACCTGCCACAAGTGTCACATCAGCTATTAACAATCATTTAGGATATGTCACCAATGAAACAAAAGGATAAAAATTGTGATCATGGAATAATTTTTATTCTAAAAACTTGATTGCATTAAAAATCCAAAATGTTATGACATGTGGAATGTAGAATGTCTCTGAAAGGTAAGCTTGTGTCACTGCTAATCATATACATGTACAATATCTACCATGGCCTGATTACCTTGATTTTGTCACGTATAAATCTTAATGACTCTGCAGTACCCCAGTCTTCATCACTGGGAATTGTCACCACGTCCAGACGGATGAGTAGCTCTCCTGCTGATGACTGAAGAGCCTGAACCAAGTCACGCTTCACTGAATCAAAAGTGACGATGATCACACCTACAACATAAGGGTAGAGAAGAATGTCATCTTGGATCAAGTACACATTGAATGACAGCAAGATCTTTTTGAAGCATATCAACTGCACATACATTTCTCAGACACCACATTTTCTCCAATTACATGTATAGCACAAATATAAATACTTTGGAAAGAAGGAAAGAGGACGTTACATCAAATATTCAGGCACTGAAAACATTTTCAAAATAGGATAAAACAAAAAGTCCTCAGAAACAAAAAAGTCAATATGGATCTAATTCAGAAGATAAAGCGAGGAAATCAAGGTGAAAATAAAGGTGGCAAATGTTCAATACTTTATGAAAATTACTATTTATCAAATATCAATCACATCAAGCAACCGATATAACAAGTGAAAAGTGTTGGGCAAAAGAGCACTTCCTTTTTTAAAGGCTTATCAGTTTTAGGTCTACCTTAATTGCTGATAGGGAAAGTTAACCAACAAGACTCTAGAGAATGCAGTCACCAACTAGCAGTTTTTGTTTAGTATTTCTAGCTTTGAACATTCTTAAATCAAATCTCTTTGATATCTTTCTTACTCTCAAATCCAGCTTTGTCAAGCATGTTAACGGGGTACCAGACCAGTGGTCTATTGCCAACTGGAAGTAATGCCTTTGGAACACTGGCTGTTAGGTCAGGCATACGGGACCCCCGACCCCCTGCCATGATTACTGCTTGAAACTCCATGATGAAAGGATTCTCAGTGAGCTATACACCTGCAGAAATGAATGGGTAAATAGAAACTAGATGAAATATTGAGAAATTCCAGAAATGTAGGACCTGTGCCTTTAAAATGAGGGAAAATAATTCACTTGCAAGCAAACATTACTCACAAATAAGCCAGTGGCATGGTTTTCATTAACCCTCACTCAAAATAGGGGCCTACTGAAAAATTTTTCCCCTAACTTAAAATAACACATCTGTAGAAAAACAGCAATTAATTTATTTCATTTTGTATAATTGTATTGTCCAAGACAGTCTCAGTGGCTTTTTGCCCAAGGGAAAGAATTGGACCTCATGCAAACCACAGCAAATGAGCCATGGTGTAACCATAATACCAACCCCCATATGGTACTAGAACAAGCAAGCTACCTACATGTATGACTACTGTCACATCGCACTGCCATGCTAAGCATACAGCAAACCACTGTGTGCAGCTCACTTGTACATGCAACGGCCGTCACAAGAAAACCGACCAGCAGTGGTCTTAAGTAAAATGGCCTTACATGGATGTAAACATACACATAAATGTATGCCCACATCATGGAACTGCCTATACGCAATGTTGTTGGGTGGAACACACCTCGAGGCATGCTATTAAACAGTGCAGACCATCAGGTTGTGATACTATGGACATCAATGTGCAGGTGATACTGGCCATTGATTAGGCAATTGATTAAGGATGTTTTTATTCAGAGAATGATTGTTTTATAAATAAGACAAGTCCAATGCCCTGGTGGTCAAGGTAGGCCTTGAATCTGTTACAGTCAAGGATTTAAAGTCCTCACTCCTGAACAGGCTGGGACAGCAACATGGCCAAAATCTCTTAAAACTTTTTTTTTTATATAAGTCCAAGTTGAATGAATAGAAGGTATGTACTGGCCCAGTATAAACTGGGTAGACCCTCTCATGCCAAGGCCTCTGTTTGCCATATCGCTGTGGGCTGGTGGACTGCTGACATCACTGGAGGTTAAGCTGATGTAGTCAAGCTACATAGTCAGTCTACATGGATGTGGCTAGTCATCTCTGCACCCTGGTCACTTCACGCCCACAAGACACCGTCAAGGTTTTAGCCTACACCATGAACTGTTAGGCACAGAGCAACACCTTCCGAGCCCACAAGACCCTTCCTTGCCAGTCAAGACTGATTCCTGCCTGTCTGCCAAGCCAACAAGCCATGCACCTCAGTGGACTCGCACAAGTTAAGTCACGTACAACCAAAGGCCGTACCACATGTATGATGTATGATTTG